GCAGAAATGAGAACCAAGAGATAACGCACACAATCACTGCAGACCAAGCCCTAACCCAAATCAGGGTTGGGAAATAACAGAGAAAGAGAGCCACCCAGATTTAAAAAGACAGCAATAAAACAGGGCGCCAGAACGTCTCCCACACTCCCCTGGGTGATCCAGTCACTAGATCCTGGGCTGCTGTCACCATAAACCAGAGGGTCTCCCGATGGAAAACTGATGCACAAAACTCACCCCTCTCACCCCTCCCCACCCCGTCCACCCAAAAAATGTTGTTGGAAAAGAAATCCTCGTTGTACCGGAGGAAACATGTGAGAGAAGAGCTGTACTGGGAGTACCAAGGGGCCAAATCTGTGGCTATGAATTTGGTGAGCCTTCTAGGATTCACGGTAACTGAACACCGCTGCTAGTGTTTCAGCGCTCACTGCCTTCCTCCTCATGGGTGGTGGAGCTTGACAGCCTTACAAAATTAGAACTTAAAATCCAATTTAGGCCTTCGAGGCCACACCAGTTCTCAAAAGCAGCTCAAGAACTTCTGCCAGTAGGGCTCCCCTTTCTAAGGCCCTCAGACTTCCCCTGAGTACGTGAGTAATTACGTATAATGTTCCCGTTACTCATGCTGCCTCATTAACATATCTGGGCAGCCTTTGTTTACCACCTGGCCAGGACCCTGGTGAGATTTGAGGGCAAATGATTATTTCCCTCAGCGCCCCATGGTCCCCTATGCAGCAAAAGTCAGAGGCAACAACACAAGTGCCAGAAAAAGCCTCGAAGCCCTGGCCAAGTCAAATGTACGAACGCCCTCAGGCACTCGGAGAGGGTGGGGTGGGGACATTTATAAAACACAGAGTACAAACCAGCCAGTTCCAAAGGCAACGGGGACCTCAGTGCTTTTTCCAATGAGGACCCAAGGAGACAGGCAGCTGGGGATAAGGGGGTAGCTCCACCAACTGGTGTTTAAAAAAACAAACATGCATCTGAGACCAAAATGCCTTAACATCCCCCCGACTTTCTCAAGCAAAAAATCCTAACGAAAGGCTGCCAAGAGCCCTTGTTACAACCTTTTTCCCCTTTTCAAGGCTACTCTCATCATTCCTTTTACCTCTAGTTCATCTGGACTAAAAACTAGAGAGGAGATGCAGCCTTTAACTCACTGGCCAGGCTCAACTCACCTCAGTTTTCCCTTCAGTAAAATGGACTCAACAGCCTCTTTCTCTCATGTGAACTCACTAAGGAAACAGTAACTGGGCGGTCGGTTCAGAACCGACCGTGTCTTCTTCCCCCGAAGATGCTTTCAGCAGGGATGGGTGGGTGCTAGGTAGGGTCACCAAGAGTGTTTCCCACAATCCAAGCTCTTCTGGCACATTTCTGCAAATGGCAAAGAGGACCCAGGAGACACGGGCCACGTCCTCACAAGAGCAGTAAAACCTGTGACAAGACAGACTGGTGGAAGAAGACAGAAAGCCAAAGACCCAGGGCTGTAGTCCAGCCGCCCACTCAGGTGTGGCCCTCTGGGACAGGATCAGTATCTGTAAAACATGGGCCCTTTCCCATCCCACACATCCTGACTAAGAAACCAAGAGAGACAAAAGCCATCTGCAAGAGGTGACAGGGCAGTAGTCTTGGAAGCAGGCCAGGTCATTCGACCAGGAGCAGGGTATCAGGCCAGAGCTGCCATTTCCGACTTCCCACAAGGTTCAGCTCCACTTTTAATTTTATACTGAATCCGAAATGAATGAAAACCCCTTGAAAGTGTGAAACTGCCAGAAGGCTATAGGGTTGTCTGAAGTTCCTAGAAAAGATTAAACCCTAAAAGGCTAAGAAAAATCTCAAATTGTCTACAAAAAAGGATACAAATAGCTATACTACAGCACAGCTTGAGAAAACCAGTCATCACAGTTCCTACCACCCTGAAAGGAAAGGAGCCTGCGATGATGAGACAAGTGTGGAAAAGGCTTTGCAGACAAAGGGGACGAAGTCTGGGGCCTGGAAAAGGAATTGAGGAGGCTTGCGGAGGGGGGGCCAGTCAGAGGAATGAAAGGAATAGTTACCTTGGAGATGGAAAGAAACAAAAGGTGACTGATTCACAAGGAAGAAACAGATTCTACATGTCTCATTTCCATTAACAGGTAGGCTTAAGGATTTAAAATGAGAACACCTTCAGCAGTATCTCCTAAGTAAGATAAAATAATTAAAGTTGCTGGATTACAAGAAATGAGCTTCTGAACTCCACATAAATGTGTAAAATCACTAATCTTTCTGCCCCCACCATCCTGAGAATGACACAATTGTTTTTAACTCTGAAAGTAATACAAATTACCTCGGTAGGGCCACTCTAAACTGATTCGAATTTTATCTGTGCTACCTGGCATGAACTAGATAAGGAAGCACGTATTTGGGGATTAAGGCTAAATACAATGGAAGTACTCTTATCAGAGATGATAGGGACCCAAAGCTGGTTAGCTAATGTAAACTTTATAGGTGGAAAACCTTAAAAAAAAAAAGAAAAGAAAACTATCTAGATAGATAAACAGAAGTAGATTATATACATATGCAATGAAAGCATGAGCTTACTTTCAGTTACAGATAGATCTGAGGAATTCCGGTGCTCCATGTTACTGTTTTGTTTGCTGTGAAGGGAGTTTGGCCACAAAGCTCAGTTCTTAACACTTGCAAAGCAATGTGTGAGCAGAATCCTTACAGATTTTCCCCAAGTCTTTTAAAATTCTAGCCCACATCTAATTGAACAGCCTCATTTTTTCAGTACTTCACTTTTACCAAGGGTTCCCAAACATTCGGCCTAAAGTTTTCAGAGAAACCAATTCATTTCACACTCCTTCAAAGGTTTACATAATATTTAACTGAAATTGCAGTAAGTCTAACTGGAATAACCAGATTTGGGAACAAACAACTGACACTTGGCAAGCCTTCTATCTGGGTAGAAGCCAAAGGGGGCAGAGGCACACACTCCCCAGGCCTGCCCACTGGCCAGGAGCTTCGTGCTGGGGTCGGTATCACAGCCAGGACATTCTGCAGCCAGGAGAACCGGGTAGATGAAAGGTGACCAGGAGCTGTTACTGTAAACCTGGGGGAGACTCAGACGTGGACCAGTAACATTAGGAGGATTAGAACAATGCAACGAGAATTCCAAAAACTAAATTTCTTTGACTGCAAAACTTTCTAACCATTCGGATAAAAATGTCAGGCGTCTAGGTCCTCAGACCGTCATGATCAAGGGCAAACCTTAAAAATAGTCCAGCTTTTCAGTATCCACTCATGATTTTTTAAAAATTCCCAAACTACAAAAGTGTGCATCTACAAAAAACAAACAAAAAAACACCTCAAAGTTCATCTACCCAAAAAAAACCCTATAAAACAAAAAAAACAATGCCTACAGCTAACAGCAAACTTTGATCCATACTGTCCTGGATACATCAGCTCTACACTATATAAAACACTGCCAGCATAACCACTCTCAACTTTCAAAATTCACTCTGGAATCTAAGCTCTTGTCTGAGCATTTCATGTCATTTTTCCAGATCCAAATTATCAATTCATTGCAGCTCACTTTTACCCAAGTAACACAGGTTTTGAGTGACCTGCTCCACCCTTATTTTTCCATTACCCCTGCTATTTTTGGTGTACAATTTTGCAGAACTTGAAGTGTCTCACCAATGCAGACACCATGCTACATTAGATACACCACTAGCTGCAGTCGGCCCTGTCCACTAAGATAGCTACCAGCCTTTCGTAGCTCTTGCACTTTTGAAATGACTCGTCCAAAATGCAAGGCAAAAAAAAAATTCACCAGATTTCAAAGACCTAAGATGAAAAAAATGTAAACTACCTTAACAACTTTTGAATTGATTATATGGTAAAATGATGTATTTAATACACTGGGTTAAATAAAAGTATGACTAAATTTTTGAAAATCCAGGTTAGCTTTTACCAAGTGTTTTAATATACCAGGCTTAATATGGCTTTCCCATGTCGTCTTTGAAAGGAAAAAAAAGACAGAAAATGATTCTATTTTGAATCTAAGAGACATCAGTGATATACTCCAAAAGTTTTTCTTCCTGAAAGTTTAAATAACCTTTGGAGCAAAATATATGTTAAGATTAACACTAGAGTTATTTCAAGACACTTGGAAGTGAGTCAACAGCCCTCAGCCCAGCTTTAGGAACTGGTCTGACCTACTAAGACAGAGGAAACAGCCATTATACCATCCAAGTACCAAATGATTCTAGCTGGCTATTTGGGCCAAAGGCAACGGGGACACACAAATCAGATACTTGTCTATGGTGAAGTAGTAACCCAGGTAGTAATAACCCAAATTGGATAATTTTTAAGCATGATCTTTTTCCTTTTAAATTTCAGTGACGCACCTCAGACTTGACAGTATTCCTTCCATAATCTCTCCAGACAGTGACAGTTGCTCAACTGTCTCTACTCTAGACTTGCGTGACAAAAGAGAAAGTTTCTTCCACTACTAGAGACAGGAAGAAAGCCACGTGAACAACTCAGAAAAGGAAAAATGTAGCCATTGAATAAGGTGTACTTTTCCCCCAAAACTGTAAAATAACCCAATTAGGTGTAAAATGGGGAGGGGGCTGGTGCTTATAAATCCTACCAGTACATTTTGGGGTGGTTCTATTTTTTTCTTTACAGTTTTATGTAATTCTAGTAAATCCTGTTTTTGAATCTTGTAACAAACTTTTCAGTTTTTCCAATCATAGTGCACTTTCAAATCAGAAAATTACTTAAAACTTATAGCCTGCTGGTACAAATTCTGCTTGAGCTGTCCCAGAAATCAAACTGGTAATTTGTCTGCGTGCTAACTGCATGAATCATATCTTCACACGGCAGAGATTTTTTATTTCAAACTCATACCTGCTATAAAGCATCAAAGATCAAATGGGTTTGAAGCCTGGGTATCATATCTGCTATTCTCCATAGGAATAATCAACCAGTGGAGTGACAGAAATGGCACAAAATACCCATAGAGCAAAACATGCAACTGTTTTTATTGTCCAAGTGGATTGGGGTTTTGAAAGGCAAACGTTTTCAGTTATTCAAGGTATTGTGGTGGGAGTCGTGCCCAGCAATTAAGACAGGATTACATCGCAATTTATGAGCTTCTCAAGGACGTCATTTCATATGAAATGTAACAATCATTTCTCCCAAAGCCTGCCATCTACAATCCCACCCCCAAACTCTGCTTTGCTAAGGCAATAAACTAAACGGCAACGCGGCAGGCATCGAAAGCTTTTGAGACCAATTGTAGGAAATGTGCTGCCTTCACCAGCTCAAGTAATAATTCCACCTTACACAGATGGCAGTTTTACATCTTTCACGCACATTATCTCACGCATGTGAACTCAGATAAACTGAAGTGGCAAAGGCAGGTATTACTTTTTCTATTTTACAGAAGAGTAAATAGACTCAGATTTCGAGTCTCTTTATTTTCCGGTTCAGAAGAACTAAGCCCAAAACACCTTAGACTTACAGTCCAGTGCTCTTCCAAGCACACGTATCAGTGAGAAGTCTTCCCTCGTCTGGCCCCTCAAAATACTCCATAAGCCTAGAGCTGGCACAGCGAAGAAGTGCCACCCTGCTGTTTCAAGGCTTCCAGAAAGAGCAACAGTTGACGCTGGGCAGCATCACCCTGAAAGGCATCCCGCCACATCCTGCGGAGACACCCTACACACGACTTAAAGTGACATGGTAACCAAATCCACAACATGGTCCTCTTACAAAGCCAAGCTTCCCTGAATGAAGTTTCCTTGCTTTTCAAAAGCGTTAGCGAGAGAACACGACCACCACCGCAGCAATGCCACACCATCAGCAGACCTGGAAACAGAGGAAGCGAAAACGTTGCCGCAGACAGGAGGCGTCTCCGCACTGCTCCCCGCCCTCTAAATGGAATCGGAGCTGGGTCAGGGCCACTCCCTGGGGTACCAGAGGCTCCCAGCGCTCACCTGAGGGGAAGCGCGGCGTGTCAAGGCGGAAGGCCGACGCCGGTCGCATCCTCCTCCTCCTCTTCCTCATCCTCCCACGCGGCAGCCCCCGCCTCCCCGCCGCTCCCTCCGCCCCCGCAGGCCCGCCGCGCTGGAACCTCCCGCCCGACTTTTGACGTCACGGAGGAGGAGGAGAAGGTTCCACCCGGGCCCGTCCCTTTGTGACGTCACAATGACAACAGA